GCCTATATCAGATTTCATGCCGTCTTGGGGAGAGAAGTGGGAAGAGAGGGGGAGAAAAATGTTAAACTCAAAAGCTTATGAAAGTGATTGTTGATAATTCAAAATAAATTAATTTAAAAAAAAAGAAATACTTCAAAACCAGAGGCTCATCCTCATATAGCAAATTTATAGCACTGCGAGAAAACTGCAGTAATCTTTGGGGATGGGAAGCAAGGTCAAAATTGGGCCACACTTTTAACATCTTCCTGCTTGCCAATATAACTTATAAAGCTCTTCCCAAAAAATATACCATCACAAATTCTTGAAAATGATGACATACTGCTTCTCATTCAACTAATAATCGTAGTGCAAGTGAGATATGAGTGGACTGAATATAACAATGATGCACCTATGACAAATTGACTGTGATCTATAACAATGTTTTAAATACTGACATTCAAAGAATACTGAAAAGGGGTGGTAAAGAAAGTAATTTTCCAGAGAGTTAAAAAAATTTTAGATTGCCTCAGCTCTTAATTACCAATGTAGAAAAAGAAAGCAAGAAGAAAAACACGTTACTCAACTCATAGGAACACAGTAGAAGAGATGGGATCCTGTGATCTGGAGGCAACACAGTGCAATGGAAAGGGCCTCTAGTGTCAAAAATCCTGCCTCTGGTGCTTAGCCCCTAGGTGGCCTCTGCAAGTCATTTCAGCTCTCAGAGCCTCAATTTCCTCATTTGTGATGTGAAGGTCTAGAAACCAGTTCTAGACCTCTGAGTCTTTCTTCCAAAGTCAGTCCTTCACCCACTACTCCATGCTGTCTCCTCCAATGGAACATAAGCTCTGAATGGGAAGAGATCCTTTTTGTCTCTGTCTTTGTATCCCCTGGCTTACACAGTGCTTGGCACAAAGTGATTGCACCCCACCTTCATAAGAGGGCAATAAGAATTCAAAGAGCAAACTAATACAAGTATTCTTTTTCAAGAAAAAGGTTCAGGGCAACTCCTGGCGTCAATTACACATTCAACCTTATCCACCATCCATTGTACATTTCACATAGAACATTAACCTATTTCCCATCAAAAATAGTACAAATAAATACTTAAGGTTAACAAGCTTCACTTACCTGAAAAATTTATGTTGGCCAGTGCATTCCACAATTTAAACTATGAAATGAGATACCTCTGTCCCCGAGGCCTGGAACCAGCCAAGCTGCTTTACTTTACCCTAAGACAGGCCTGCACAACCTGTGGCCCTCATGTTGCCATGCCAAAGGATTTCAGGCAGCCCTCTCTACATTTTTCATGGGCTGAAGGAAATCCTTTGGTGTGCCACAAGTGGTGGGGGCCGTAAGCGGCCTGTGGGCTGCAGGTTGTGCAGGCCTGCTCTAAGACCAGCTCCCCTCCAGCAATTCAATAGCCAGGGCCTATTAGAAAAGAGGTATTGGGGTATCTAGGTAGCGCAGTGGATAAAGCACCCGACCTGGAGTCTGGAACACCTGAGTTCAAATCCAGCCTCAGACACATAATATTTACTAGCTGTGTGACCCTGGGCAAGTCACTTAATCCCATTGCCTAACAAAAAAAAAAAAAAAAAGTGTGTCAACCTCCTTCCCTAGCACTTGGATCATCATCCTATAACTTTCCAAATCCAAATAGCCCTCCCTGGCCATGACTCCCCTATATATGTATTCTTGTCCAATTAAAACATAAGCACCTTGAATATACACACTATTTTCTGCTTTTGCATACAAAGAGCTTGACGCATAATAAGTTCATTTTAGGAGACTTGCTTGGAACTGGTTTGATTTAACACTTGCTGTTTGTGCTTCATTATCAAAGAGGGCCATGACATCAGGGAGGTGATACCACAACAAGCAAATGAATTGGATTTAAGTGAAGGAGGGCTGTGCAAAGTCACCAGCCTCACTTTCTCCTTCGGAGCCATCTGGGTCCAGTGGCCAGTTATGGATCAGGACAACTGAAGATGGCCCAGGAAGCAGTGGAGGACCTTGGCCTTTTCAAGCTAAGGTCTTTAACAAGTCTCAGTTTGACTGAAGCAGTGCCCATTTGGTAATTAAGGCTTAATTTTTAAAATGAGGCAAAGAATGGCCTCTTAAAAAAAAAAGATCTGGGAGGGGAAGACCCTCTGGGTTTCTGGACAAAACAGAAACAATCATTATTTACATTCATCCTGAGCCAATCAGGGTCCAATGACCAAGTAGTGCTTGGTCTGGGACCACAGTGATTTGGGGTTAAGGCTGGTCTTTAAGAGAAAAAAAAAAAGTTTTAGAGATTAAAATTTATATTCCCTTTGGGGAGAGCACTGGCAAGTAATAGAGTGATACCCTATGTGGAGAGAGAAGAAAGAAAAGAGAGAGATAAAAAGGAAGGAAGGAAGGAAGGGAGGAAGGGAGGGAGGGAGGGAGGAAGGGAAAAGAAAGAAAGCCATGTTGCCCACCTGGAAGTTTGGTCCCTAGTGGGCAGCTTCTTCTCTACTCACAGGGGATGCTGTTTGTCCTTCTTTCTCAAAGAGGACCACGACATCAGGGAAGTGATACCATGACAAGCAAGTGAAGATTTGACACTTTAATAAATTATGAGAAGGGAAGACATGAGGAAGTTTACAGAAAACCCAATTTATCTTGGTGCTTTGGTTAACAATTTAACATATCTTACCAAGTTAATAGGCAGAAAAACCCATAGGCTTGTTAAGTAAAATAACCAAAGAATTACATGTCCTCATGTAGTTAGAAAAATGAATCACTGCTTTTAAAAAGCTGTGTTTGTGCCTCCAGAAAATGAAACATATTATACATCTTGGTTACATAGATGATGCATCAGGGCTTACCATGAATGCACTTCTCTGTGTCTTTCACTTGGCAATTTATCAGAAGAACAGAAGCATTACAAGGTATTACTGGAACTTATTCTCTTATATCTTTACATTGTTCTTTTTTTTTCTTTCCCAAATGTAAACTCCCAGAGGGCAGGAACAATGTCTTTTTACTTCTGTGTATCCCCTACAACAACTTGAACAGGAACCTGCACTGTGTACAGATGTCCTGGCAGATTCTTTTCTCAAAGGGATGATTGAGGATGGAAGGAATCCAGATCTGAGTCCTAAATAGTGACCAATGATCAGCACTGTCTTTCTAGCTAATGACTTAACTTGTCACTTAAATTAAATACATCTCTGCTACCCAAAGGGCAAACTACTCATGTTCTGCCAGTTGAGGGCTGAAACTACTATTTTTCTCCTTGGAAATAGTTCTCATTTTAGGGAAAAACTCTATTTTCCTGTTCCTATATTTCCAAAGAATAAGTGGTTTCTGCATTTCACATATATTATGCATATATATTCTGTATATTCATATATATTATGAATATAACTTTCACAAATGCTTCTTAACCTCTCAGGGGTTTCTTATAACTTAGAATTTTTCTTGCAAATTTACAACTTAAAGATCTTCCAAAATGTGATGTTTCATAGTAAGTCTAGCTGTGTTTGATCAACTCTCATGCTTCCTCAAGGTGTGGTGGCGTAAAGGCAAGCTCTAGCTGGTATCAGGAAGCTGGAAAGGCTTCAAGAATAACATTAAGACTATTCAGGCTGTTTTCCAAGAAGCAACTTAGCTAAGTTTGGAGAGTTTTATTATTACTAGGTTGGTCTGCAAGGATAATGCTACCATAGCAACTCTTAAAAAAAAAGATTTAACTAGATAAACATCAACAAACATGACTATATTTCTCTGTACCTGCAATTCTTAACTTTGGAGCTATGAATTTGGTTTTTTAAAAAAATCTTTACAAGTGTGTTTCAACATAGTTGGTTTCCTTTATAATCCTATGTATTATATTTTTTGCATTTTAAAACATTATTCTGAGGAATCTATAAATTTTCACCAAACTGCCAGGTGTCCATCACACAAAAAAAGGTTAAGTAAGAATTCCTGCCATACACAAAGAATAGAAAAAGAGGATTATATATGAAACTGTGAATTTATAATATATATTTTTTTTCTTTTTAGGTACATGTTAAATTTAACATGGTAGCACCAACCCTATCCTCCTTGTGTTAACAGCTTTTGAAGACCCTCTATCAAGACACAGAGGGTTTGCTCAGTGGAAGTATTGCTCACAAAATGAAAATCATAGATCCTTGAAGTACAGAAGCCACTAAAGCATTAATTTGAGCCAACTATGATTATATCTAAACCTGGAAGAAAAATAAAATTCATAGAAGAATTATATACCGCCAACAGTTCCTGTTCACTGAACCAAGGAAAGAGAGAGGAGGAGGGAGGAAGGGAGGAGGCGGAAAAGGAAGGAAGTAGCATTTACATAGCACTTGACAGTTTGCAAAATGCTTAACAAATAATATCTCATTTTACCCTGACAGCAACCCTGGGAGGTAAATGCAATTATTATCCTCATTTTACAGATGAGGAAACTGAGAAGAAGGATGTTAAGTGACTTGCCCGGGGTCACACATGCATCTAATAAGCATCTGAGGCTGCTTTTGAACTCATCTGTCAGATGTAGGGGTTGGAGCTAAGGAAGGAAGGGGGAAGGAAGGAGGGAGGGAGAGAGAAAAGAAGGAAGGAAGGAAGGAAAGGGGAAACTGAGGTCTCGCAGGTGAAAGGGGTTGCCCAAGGTCCGCTCAGGAAGCAGGAGTCCCTTCCCCAGCAGCCAAAGGTAAACAGACCCTCCCTCCGATCCCCCGCCAGCCCCGCCCCGCCTCCCGCGGCGTCCTCCCCACCCCAAGCTCTCCGACCGGCCCCATCCTCCGGAAGCAAAGCAACGCCGCCCTCAGGCCGCTTATCACACAGTCCTGGGCACACAATAAGATCTTAATAAATGCTCCGTTCCTTTATCCAACCTTACTCACCGCCCTCCGGCCGCCGAGCACAGTGCTTGGCACATAGCGCTTAATAAATGCTTCATTCACTCATTCATGCAACCATCCAACCCAACACCTTCCTCGCCGTCCCCAGCGGCTCCCCGCGGAGTCACCCACCTACCTCGGCCTTCCTTCGCCGCGGAAGCCGAGGCCTCGCTCCTGCTACGCTCCCCGGGATCAGCAAGGTCCTGCCAGATGGGCGCTCCGTGTTTTCAAATTCAAATGATGGCGGCTGGTGAGCCGCGGGGAATCAAGGGATGCGAAGAGGCAACCCGGACGTGACGTAACGGAGCGGACCCCGCCCCCTGGCGAAGCTGAGAAACCTTGTCAGTGTGGGAGACCAATGAGAGGAGGTGTGACGTCAAGAAGCGGACACTTGCCCCTGGTGTAGCGGAGAAACCTTGTCAATGTGGGAGACCAATGAGAGGAGGCAGGGAAGAGGAGGCGGGGAGGGGGCGGGACCCGGGTCTCCTCGTGCGAGCGGCCGCGATGCCCCGCCCACGGAGGTCTGTCTCCAGGCCGCCGGCGGGCGAGGCGTTTCCGTTAGTGCGGCGGATCCTCCTCAGGCCCTAGGGCCGGCTCCCCTTGTTTATTCTCGGCTGCGGAGAGAGTAGGAAGCCGGCACTCCGGAACACGGCGCTTCCTGGTCTGTCAGGCCGAGTTCCCCTGGGGCTGCGGCTTCTCCGAAATGCCTGGCAGGACAGCTCCGTGGCCGTGGGCGCGTGTGCCCGGGCTTGTGTCGGTGTCTGCGAGCATCCGTGACTCTGGCCGTGGCCCTGACCTCGGCCTTGGCCCGCTGTGGTCCGGAGCCCTGAATGTAGCAGTCGGGGGGCCAAGTTCGAGGCATTTCTGACTTGCATGACCTTGGACGAGTCGCTTCCCTTCAATTACTTCATCTGTAAAATGGATGGAGTTGAGTTAGATATTCCGGTGGAGCATTTATTAAGCGCTTACGATGTGCTGGGGGGATATAAATACTAGCCCCTGCCCTCAAGAGTCTTACATTCTAATGGGACAAGACGTAGTCCATTAGGCCCTAAATCTTTGATCTAATTTCCTTTTCTCTGTGACAGTGCAGCTGTGTCCCAGTGTCTGTCATTCAGTGTGTGTTTCTGTGTTACCATTTATATTATATCAATGATACACAGTACAATACCATAAACATTTATTAAATACCTACTATGTGCCAGGCAGGGCAGCCAGGTGGCCCAGCTCATAGAGTGCCAGCCCTGGATTCAAGAAGACTCCTCTTGAGTTCAAAAATGGCCTCAGACACTTATTAGCTGTATGACCCTGGGCAAGTCATTTAACCCTGTCTGCCCCAATTTTCTCATCTGTAAAATGAGCTGGAAAAGGAAATGGCAAACTGCTCCAGTATTTCTGCCAAGAAAACCCATGTGGGGTCACAAAGAGTCAGACGTGACTGAACAGCAGCAATAGATGCTGTGCTGTATAAATTTAAGTTATGGCCATTATGGGTGGTTTCACAGTAGTACTAAAGCCATTTTATTCCTGAACCGTCACCAGACCCACACTTCACTAGATGTACTACCAGATCAATTTCAACATGTTCAAAACCAAGCTTTTTGTAATACCCTGCACAGAGAGCTTAAAAGTTCACAAAATGCCTCAAACCAGTACAGGTATTGTAGCCCCATTTCTATAAGGGAACTGAGACACCATAGGGTAAAAATTGCTTGTCCATTGTCATAACTGATGTAATTAATTTCCGGTGTTGATTCAGCCTCCTGGAGGGATACACTGTATACCAAGCCCCCCACACCCTTTTCTCCACTTTTCAACCTTGCCCATAGCAGGCTATCATTACCTCCCAATTTGAACTGTTGCAGCAGCTTCCTAATTTGTCTCTCCTGAAGTTTTGGTATGAAGATAAAAAGAAAGGACAGACAAATTATCTTTTTTTAAATTTATTTTCAATTAGCAAGAATTTATTTTCTATCCCTCGACCTCCCTCTCCCCTAACTGAACAACAAAAAGAAAAAGAAATCCCTCACATCGAATATACAGTAAAATAAATTCTTGCATTAGCCATGCCCCAAAAATGTGTCTTGATTCTGCATATTGAGTCCATTACCTCTCTCTCATCAGAGTATCAGGATAGCATGCTTCAACTTGGGTGATTAGTATATTACCAATCTTTATTGTTCTAAAGGATTGTACAGATCTAATTGATCACTGCTTCCCACTCATGATGAGGGACAGAGTGAAGGATAATATGGTAAGAACGTTTCAATTCATCGAATATTTCTTAAGCACAAACCATTTGCCTAGCGTTGTACTAATCACAGTGGAAGACACACACATACACAAACACACAGAATTAAAATAAAAGCAATCAATCCCCCAAACTGAAGTATCTCCAAAGTTACATAACTTGTGTTTTTTGAGTCCTAGAGTAGTATGTTGTTTTGACACAAGGTGGTGCTGTTTCTAGACTTCCTGAAAATATTTGTGCATGAAAATTAAATTTTAGTGAATAGGTTTTTATTTCTGATGGGTCATTTAAGGAAGGATTCATTGTCTTCATGAAGAAAAATAAAAAATACTATTGATACTTATATATCAAACACTTCGCAAATAGCACTTATTTGATCTCTCCCATATCCAATCATTTGCTAAATATTGATTTTATTTCCAAAATGTATTATGACTGTCCTTTCTCTCCACTCATACATCTACCACCTTAGCTCATCACCTCTTATCTGGGCAACCTGCAGTATCTGCCCTCCCTAATCCATCTTTCTCACAGCTATCAAAATGATATTAGTGTAAGTGGGAGTGGCCAATGAAGCCAGTCCTGAAAACACGTGCAAGGGACCCACATGGAGGTTGTTTCTGCTTATGTGTAATGCAGGGACCCAGGAGTCCACTTCAAAGCATGTACAAAGATTCCGTGACTATTTCTGGTCCTCTTACTGAAGGGTGAAGAGGGGGTCTTTAAGAGGGCTGCTGAAATGGAACTGAGAGTGCACACAAAAGATGCCACTGTAAAAACTGTTACCTTCATGCAGACAAGGTATTAAAAAATAAAAATAAAAACCTTCTGAACATTGGAGGATCAATGAGTAGATATCCTTTCTCCCACTTGGAAGGGCTAGTGAGAGTATGGCCTTCCTAGACAAGCCTGGACCCAGGATTGAGCATGTCTTGTTTGTATATTTTCTACTTCAGCATAGAGCCTGGTGAACTTCCAAAGGTCAAAGGAACCAAAGTTCAGTGACAGAATTCCATACCAGAGCTTGCCCACAGCTGAGCCCGGCATACCAGTGCAGCCCAGAGGAATGACTTACTTGACTTAGCCCAACAGGGGATCAACCCAATGGTCTAGACTCCTGGTCCTTCTCAAAGGGAGTGAATAATACAGAAACTATGCCATGTCCAGAAGTAAACTTTGTGAGAGAGATATTTTGTAGCAGCCACTTTATCTCTGAGCCATTCTTTTCAGAAACAAAGATAACGGAGGGGAGATTCAATTCTGGGGGAGGGGGAGGATGCTTTTGTACATTGGTTCTTCCTATATCTTTTTTAAAGTAAATATCCCTTTATAAAAGCTATTTTATGTAAATTGGGGGTCCTTATCACAGGTTTTATGATATGGGGAAGTTATAAATTGTAACTAGTGATTGATATAGTAGAAAATGGGTGCTCAAGCCAATAGCATTAGAAAGTTAACTTAATGCCTCAGGGATACCCTATAGAACTATGAAGGGGAGATGCTGGCTAGTTGGGTGGTACAGTAAAGAGTGTGGGGTCAAAAAGATGTGAATTCACATCTGACCTCACATACTGTGTGACCTTAGGCAAGTCACCTATCCTCTGTTTGCCTCAGTTTCTTCAACTGTAAAATGAGTATAATAATAACACCCACTTCTCAGGTTTGTTGTGTGGATCAAATGAGATATTAGTTGTAAAGCATATAACACAATGCCTGGCACAAAGTAGGCACTATCTAAATGCTTATTCCATTCAATTCCGTGTAGATAGTTGCTCTCTGGTAACATGACTTGCCAGTACAAGTGTGACTTGGGATAAAGAGGACCATAATGTATAAGGACTACATTAATAAAGCATAGATCTGACCTTTTCTGGCAGGTCACTGGCCTGTTTAGAAACTACAAGGGTCCCCTCTTGCCTCCAGGTTAAAATATAAGCTCTTATGTTTGCCTTTTAAAGTCCACAAGCCGGCTTCAGCCTACCTTTCCAGGCTTACTGCACGACTGTATTTTACTCGCTCTTCAATGCAGTCAAACTGGTCTGCTCTCTGTTTCACCATGCACAACAGTCTTTCTCACCACTGTGGTCCTGTACAGCTTGTCCCTCTTGCTTGACATGCACTCCCTCATCACTTCTGCTTGGTAGAACCCCTAGCTTCCTTCACAGTTTAGCTCAAATGCCACCTCCTACAGGAAGCCTACAATGATTCCCCCATTTGCTAGTGTTCTCCTCCAGAAATTACTTTGTTTATATAGTGCATGTAATTTTCTTTTTACATGTTGGCTTCCTACCCCCATACCCAACTGAATATAAGCTCCTTGATGTCAGATATTGTTCAATTTTGATCTTAGTAAAGGCTCTTGCATTGAATAAATGCTTATTGAATGAATGGATGAAGCAAGGGCTCCAGACTTTGTTCTTTCTTGGCTATACTACTGTCCTTTGACCAAATCCCTCTTCTAAGGCAAAATTTTGTCTCTGTGTTGTGCTCAGTCATTACCACCATAATGGAGAAGCCCTCAAGAGTTTTTCTTGTGTGGCCTTGGGTAGCTTACCATCCTGGCCCAGTATTCAAGGCTCTCTAGGGAACACATAAAGCACTGATGGAACGTAGAGACACGCAGAGAAAGACAGCCCGGAAAAGCTGGTTCTTTTGTCCACATTGCTTTGATGCAACAAAGTCCTACCTTTCATCATCTCTTCCTTGGCAAACACTGCATATACTTTATAAACAGCATTAAGAAGGCTGTTCTCAAATAGCAGCCAGGAAAGTTCTGCTGTAATTTGTTACTAGCATATACCTCCAATATGGGAGGGAGGTTGGTGCACTCCTTAGGGCTATTGCCTACAACTACTGCCTACATCCTAACAGCTCAGCAGAGCTGAGAAAGGAGCGGAGCTACCTTTCTTGTAGTGCTAACTGTATACATTGTCATGGTCCACTCAACAATCATATTCTTATAAGTAAACTTTTATAAGTCTGTCCTTTAAAACATCTGTTTTCTCTTTAAAA